ACCTGAGGTGGCTTATATTTATTCTTGTTACCATACCAAGCACACAAATCATGATACAGTGCAGGAAAATAACTTTTTATTATGTAACTTTTTATATACAGTACAACTATATACAACTATTTTGTATGTGTATAGGTCTACAAGTTTTGACAAACACATAGTACATAGCCATAAAGAACACAGATTATGTCTCTCACACCTCCAAACTCTCAGGTCCTTTTGTAGTCAATTCTTTGATCCACTGCTGGCTCCTCACAGCCAGTGGTTGCTTCTTGGTCCTACAGTTTGCCTTCATGCATCATGAAAAACACATCATGCTTTTTGAGTTTAGCTTCTTATATGTGAGGTGTTCAAGATAAATCGTATTAGTTCTTGTAGCAGTCATGGCATTTTAGATAAACTTCTTGTAGATGAATGATAGCCACCTATATGTGTTTCCATTTTGAAAGGTGAATAAAAGTCAACTCCACAACACTACAGAGTAAATCAGATAAAAAATAAACACAAGTAAAAAAAAGAAATGACAACCATAATGAAACAATTGCTCAGCATGACTAAGAGACATAAAAAAATGATGGAAGGCTTGAATGAAAAATATAGGAAAAATTAGAAGGCATGAAACAGATTCAAAGAAATACACAATAAGAATTCCACTGAAAACTGGCAAAACCACTTGAATGAAACTGAAGACACACTTTCAGACCTTTAAGGCATCCTAACAGCTAGTGACCATGAAAGAAAAAATCTTTTAAAAATAATAAGGAACCAAGAAATAACAGTTCAACAGCTTCAAAATGATGCAAAGAAAAAACATGTAAGACTGACTGTAGGAGTCAATACAAATGACACACAGGAAAAAGACTATCTGCAGCAGCAATAGCAGACAATTTCCCAAACATGGAAAAAGAATCTGACACAAAGGTTCTTGAGCCATGTAGAATCCCTGGTAGCCATAACCACAATAAACCTATACCCACACAGATAATAATCAAGATCTAGAAACTCGATATAAGAACAAAATGTTAAAACCTGTTACAGAAAAGAAACAGATCACCTACAAAGGAAAGCATCAGAATCAAGGCAGACTTCTCAACAAAAACCATCAAGAGCCTGGAGTGAAGTATTTCAAGTCCCGCAAGAAAACAACTTCAAACCCAGATTGATAGCCCTTGCAAAACTACCTTTTAAGTTAATGGAGAAATTAGATACTTCCACAGTAAAGAATAAATGAAGAAATTCATGATCATCAAACCAACCCTACCAAGAGCACGGGAACCTGTACTAGAATGACATAAAAATGACCACCATTTCAAGAATAACAGAAGGCAACCATTAAGCAGGGCAAGCAAGGGAAAAGTAACAAACCAACAGCAGGAAAATACAACAACAAAGATAAGCCAATATATATTTATAATAACCATCAACGTGAAAAGTCACAATTCACAGATGAAAAGAAACAAACTGGCAGGATGGCTCAACAAACGAAATCCGACAGTATGCTGTAAACAAGAATGTCCTTTTAACTCATAAGGAAATTCATAAATTGAAAGTCAAAGGATGGAGAACAACACTCCGTGGGACAAGAACCCAGAAAAAAGCAGGACTCGCTATTCTGATCAAATATGGGAGCACCCAAGTATATAAGACAAATACTAATAGATATGAAAGATCTAAAAAGCAGTGACACAATCATTAAGGAGGGACTTTCACATAGCACTGTCACAAAAAGACAAATGAACTAGACAGAAAATCGGCAAATAAGTGCCAAAACTGAAACAAATTTGTGAACAAATGAACTCAGTGGATCTTCACAGATGGTTCTACTCGACATCATCAGAATTCACATTCCTCTCTCAGCTGCACAGTCCCATTCTCAAAAGCAGATCAGATACTAGCACACAGAGCATGCTTAGATGCAAGAAAACCAATTATCCCATGCATATTTTCTGATCATAGTGCAATGAAATTAGAAATTACTGACAAAAGAAACCACAAAAACTCCATAAACAAATACAAATTCAGTATCCTCCTGAACAACCAACATACCACAGCTGAAGTCAAATAAAGTAAAGACCGGAGCAGAAATTAAAACAACTGAGACTAAGAAAATACAAAGAAATAATGAATCAAAGAATTTGTTCTTTCAAAGGAATACATAAAATTGATAAATCCCTAGCCAACATTATAAAAAAGGAAAGAAAACACTCAAATTCTTTCATAAGAAATGAAGAGTGAAACCAGTAAAGATTTTGTGGAATTTCCTAAGATCATCAATATTTAGTTCAAAAATCTTCACTCACATAGTATGGAAAACACAGAGGAAATGGACAGATTCCTAGAAAATTATGAATTACCAAAGGTGAATGAAGAAGATATGAAAATTCTGAATAACTTAGTACAAGTCAATGAAATTAACAACTTACTAACTTATTCCTAAGGCAAGTAAAGATACCAAAAATCAGAAAGACCCAACCAAAAAAGAAAACCACAGGCCAGTCTCCCTAATGAACACAGACATAAAAATCCTCAGGCAGATACTAGCAAGCAAAACACAGTAAAATCACAAGAAGTTTATAAACTATGCGCAAACAGGACTCATCCCAGGAATGCAGGGATGGTTCAATATATACAAATCAATAAATGCAATACACCATATCAATAGAGCTACTAAAGACAAATGCAGGAAAACCTTTGGATAAATTCCAACACTCATTCATTGTAAAAACACTATAGAAAATTGGAATAAATGGTCTCAACCTCAATCTGATAAAAGCCATCTATGACAAACTAAACGCCAAATCACACTAATTAAACAAAAACTGAAAACTATCACTCTAAAATCAGAAACAATACAAGGACGTCCAGTATAACCACACCTATTCAATACAGTTCTAGAAATACTCCCCAGAGCAATTAAGACAAGACAGAACTAAAAGGAATAATGATTGGAATGGAAGAAGTAAACTTATCATTAGTTGCAGATGACATGATACGGTATATAGAAGACCCCAAAAACTCCACTAGGAGACATGTAGATTTAATAACCAATTTTAGTAATGTATCGGGGAAAAAAGTCACAACACTCAAAAATCAACAGCATTCTTGTGTACAAACAACAAACTCACCAATAGAAATTAGGGAAACCACACAGGTAATATTAGCATCCCAAAAAAGAAATACTTAGTAATCAATCTAACAAAGGAAGTAGAACATCTATAACAAAAACTACAGTACTCTGAAAAAAAAAGAGATCAAAGAGAATTTCAGAAAATGGAGACACTTCTTACTCATAAACAGGAAGAATCAACATTGTAAAAGTGGTCATACTCCCAAAACATACAGATTTAATGTATTCTCAATCAAAATACCATTAGCATACTTCATAGATCTAGAGAAAACACACCGAAAATACATCTGGAATCAGAGAAAGACATAGAATAGCAAGCAAAGGCAATCCTGGTCAACAAAGAAAAGGCAGGAGGCAACATAATCTTTGACTTAAAAATTATACTACAATGCTACTGTGCTATAGCATGGTACTGGCATAAACATAGACCTGAGGATCAATGGGACAGATTAGAAGATACAGACACAACTGCAAGCACACTCAGCCACCTCCTCTTTGACAAAGGGGTCAAACATGTTCACTAGAAGAACAGCCTCTTTAACAAATGTTGCTGGAAAAACTGGCTTTCCACATGCTGAAAACTAAAAGACCAATGTTTATCACCATGGACTAAACTAATGTTAAAATGGATCAAAGATGTAAATATTAAAATAGATACACTAACTACTGGACGAGAAAGGAGGTAGAAATCTTGAAGACATAGGGGTAGGCAGAGAATTCTTGAACAAAAACTAAACCGCATGGGAAATACTTAAGAATCAACCACTGGAACTCATCTTGTTAAAAAGTTTTTGCACATTAAAAGAAATCACCAACAGAATGAAAACCCACAAATTGGGAAAAAGAAAAAGTTTTAGCCAATTGGCACTCAGACAAAGGATTTTTCTCTAGAATACAAATAATTAAAAAGAAAAAAATCATACCCCAAAATGGAAAAGACCCAATCCAAAAAATGGGTACCTCAGATGAATACACCCTTTTCAGATAAAGAAACACTATGGCAAATAAATATATGAAAAAACGCTCAGCATCACTGGTCATTCAAAAAATGGAAATTAAAACAACACAGATTCTATCTCACCCCCAAAAGAATGGCTACAATCAAGAAATCTACCACTAACCAATGCTAGAGGGGCTTTGGGGAAAAAGGAACCCTTCACCACTGTTGGTGGGAGTGTAGAGTGGTACAACCACTACAGAAATCAGTGGGGAGTTTCAGGATTTGAGATCCCACTGAACCCACAGCTACTCCCCCTTCTGGGTATTTTTCTAGAACGAAGAATGCCATACCACAGAGATACATGTGTACCCATGTTTACAGCAGTGCAATTCATCACAGCTAAATCTGGGAAACTGAAACTGAAACATCCATCAACTGAGGAATGAATAATAAAGTTGTGATATTTTTACACAATGGAGTATTACTCAGCTATAAAGAAAGATAAACTCAAGGTTTTATAGGTAAATGGATGCAATTAGAGACACTATACTCAATAAATCAGACCTACATGTGTAAACATTGCATTGTCTCATCAGTGTGAGATGCTGAAAGAATAAACAAGACACAAAAGTATAAAAACCACTGCAGAAGGGAAAGAAACTGCTCAAAAGGAAGAGTCCAGGATGGGCAAAAGGAGAAAAGGATGGGATATACTTGTACACAAGCCAGCTAAGAGAAATGTACTACTAATTTTTATTAGTTCACTGAAAGGAACAGTGTTTACACTGATCAATCTTACATGCTTATACCTGGTAATCTGAGCAACTATTTTGAAGGTAACAACACGTAATAACCACTGTTAATTTCTTACCACCTTGTTTTGAAATTCTATATTGTTTTTATTTTTAATCTTTAAAATAAAAATTATAAACACTATTTTATCAGAAAGAAAATAATTTATTATATGAGGCATATCAGTGTGAAAGTTATAATATATTTCCAATAAACTGATTTAATTTTTAAATATACTTTTAAAGCTGTTACGCACAGTTCCATCGTCCAAGTAGTCAATTTCTTCTCAAGGTTGGAAAGAACTTGAAAGACACGGAACTCAGGAAAAACCTAAAATACCATAAAAGCTCATTAAAAATAATCATTATTACAAAAGTTTATCAGTTTGAAAATGACTAAAGCTTATATTTAGAAAATTAGTGAATCATGTCAGCATATATTATATAAATGCTTTATTATGAGCTAATCTGTAACATGGATAAATAAAACATTTTAATTGTGTTTATCAAGAACTCTGCTATTCTTCTATCTATAAACTTTTTTAGTTACAGGTGATAATAATCATTTCATCAATTTTGTGTCAACAAAACAGTATCTAAACTATCCTTAATTACTAAAGAAACTTTTTCAAATTAGATTCTTGGAGATTCCTATTCCCAGAGATTCCTCTTAATTACTTTAAGGATGGGTCTAGGAATCTGTATAAATCTCCAGTTTGACTCCACATTAGAATCACTTAGAGAAGTCTGAAAAATTTTAAAACGGAAGCTACATTCCAGACCAATACAATTCAGTACCTGCTCTCGGTGGAAGGAACCTAACAACATATTTTAATTTTTGTTGCTTGTCTCCAAGTTCCCAGGCCTTTCCAAGGCACAGCCAAGCTCGAGAAGCACTGATATGGGTAATTCTGTAATCAGACTGGGCATCCCTGTTCCTCCAGCACCACTGAGCTACGCAAAATCAACAGTGTATCGTCTATCTTGTTATTTCTGTTCTTACCCTTCTCTTGGTTTCTGTAAAAAACTTTATTTGCTATCTATGGTAACAGAAATTTCAATTAGAACTTCAAAAGTGAGGTCTGCTACTTAATTTGGGATTTATATGTAAAATTATTTTAACTTTCAGTATTGTTTTTTCGAAAGGCAATTAATTTGTTTTCCCACTTGAACGTTGTACAAAATGTGCAAATTAGATATATCCTAAGATAGAAACCATATGTTACTGAATTAAATTTACCCAACACATAAATAGAAGTACAAGATCACATTATGCGTTGAAGCAAATGCACACATTCTCTCCATAAGTTGACCTGATTCACTAACTTTCCTGGGAAAACTACAACCTAATGACAGAAAAGAAAATTCAACAACAAATCTAAAAAAAAAGGAAGATTCTTTCAAGCTATATAGTTTTAGAAACATTTCATTTGCACACTACAAAATTTTTTTTTTATCCTAGACCAATGCACAGAATAGGGATGAAACATTTCTAGGAAACAAAGCAGAACAAAACACTGCCCCAAAAAGGATACAACAAGAAAGGATACACTCTGCATGACAGTGCTACAGCGGAATGTACGCAGGAATGCTTCTAAAGAAGAACAGCAGAATGCAGTTTAAATGTTTTCTTATTTTTCAGCATTAGATTTAAAAAGTAATGACTTTTTTCAATATATACTTAAAATACAATTTTCCTCCAAGTTCTTTATGGACAGATTCTGGGTATATTACTACATGTACTGTATAAGTATTAAAAGCATCTCAAAGAGATTAAACACTACAGCAACATTTTCTTATTTTACTATTTGCTAGACAACAGTAACTGAAAACTTCATGTTCTAATAGTTTACAAAGAGGAAAAAAATTTCAAAAAGGAATACATTTTCACTTTCCACTATTTCTAACCATTAAATTACTTAGGTATTAAAATTATTTGTTCCAGCGACAAAAGATTCAACTGCACAAAAACACATCTTTCTAAAGTGTTAAAATTTAATTTTATATATTCAGCACAGTACAATGTTAAGAGTAAAAAAAAAAATCTTTGGGGCTGGGGAGATGGCTCAGTAGAATAAGCACTTCCCTGGTTAAGTGCAAGGGCCTGAGATCAATCCTGGGTTCCGCAAAAAAAGAAAAAAAAAAAAAAAAAAAATTAACTGCTTTGCTAAGTAGTTTTTAAAAATATGGTTCCTACACCAGCTGACCCACTGTTACCTACAAACCTACTGTTACCCACTGTTACCTTCTTCACCCTGCAGAAGCCAGCAGGGTGCCCCATGTACCCTGGCATGCCAGAGATCCTTACGAAAGAACAGCATGATGGCAAATCCTAGCTGCACCGTTAACTGGCACTACCAGTCTCCGACTTCACTTACTGAATCAAAACCTTTCGGTGGGAGGACAAAGCCGGGCACTCTGTTTTATCAAGTAAGTGCTGAAGTTTAAAATCGAATTCTTTAGGTAGAAAAAGTAATGAAAAAATAGCTATATTCTACTTATATATTTTTTAATGTACAAATGGACTTGATTCTGTAGCTATAAATTTGAAGCCTAATGGAAATCAATTTTAAGCACTAAGTTTTTATTTTATTTTTTTTGCACTGATATTTCTTTATAAATTCTTTAGATTTACCTGAATCATTATTCTATCAGACTTTTACCCTTGCTTAATTTTACTTTGAAGCAGTGCAATATTATCTTTTTACCATGTTGTGTTTACACTTACCTTTAGTAGTTTTTAACACTTCCTTTTTCCTTCTTTAGAATCTTGCTTTGGCCTGGCAGATCGAGCAAACTGCTAGTATTTTGAAATTAAGGTTTCCTTCAGGAGTATGAAAGTAAATGATTTTTCTAAATTAATTTTCAAAAACTAATAGTTTGTAAATTTACGGTATCCTTCCTGCTGCTCACAATAGGCAAGAGAAATAAGTACTAACCTCTATTATTTGTACACTTAGACATTTGCACCTTTACCTTACTGACGCCTAGCTTATAAATAGCAACCACTAAATTTATTATTTATTTATTTATTTAGTGGTACCAGGGATGGAACAAACAATAAATTTAGATGGTTATTATCTGGCTTTAAAATTCTCAAGAAGAACTGTGAATTATAATAAAATCATGAAACTACAATCACTTACTTTTTGGTGATACTAAATGTATTTCTAGACACTATCACTGCTTAGGTTTAGTACAAAGATGTACTTTTGGTTTGCATACATCAAATGCTTAGATAGGCTGAAATTCAATTACCTCACACTTCTGAACTACCTTTATTTTCCAACAGAAATCTAAGTGAAACAGTTACCTGACTTGGCTAAGGCGTGTTTCCCTGTAACTGAACAGCTCCAGCTAGAGTTCTAGGTGCTGAGAAAGCATGGGGATTAGTGTATCACACCCTTCTCTTAAAGACTATACTGAGTGGGGCAGAATGGCTTAAAGGATACAACCACCATGGGTTTTCCAAAAAGAACATATCCGTTTGCTTCCTTCAGGGCTTTCGCTGCTGCTTTTTCATTTGGAAGTCCTATGAAAGCTTGTCCTTTCATGCGACCTTCTTTCATCAAACGGATATCAAACCTACGAGGGAGAAAGATAAGCTTTAATTTGGAGAATATCAAGGAACTTCAATACAGTGAATGAAAATTTGCTGAACAAATTTAATTTTGCTACTTCAAAGTAAAAGTGATTACAAAGACTTTCTAAACTTCCGTACTGTCTCCAAGTATGCATTTCATGTGTTCACTTTCTACTTTTCACATTACTAAATAAAAATGCTTGTGATTTTAAAAATTACATTAGTAGAATAAGGTTAAAAGCAAATATGTTCTTTCAGTTGTTTTGGAGACTGAACCCAGGGCTTGCACATGGTAGACAATACTTCTGCTGAACTCCTCCCTAGTAAAGGAAACAAGTTTTATTTCACATTGATTTTTAAAGTTTCTTATAGTAAATTCAATACTACTTGTTCCAATGACTAAAAAGAAAAAAAAAAATCAAAAACAGCTGACAAGAACCAATTACAGGGAATTACAGAATTTCAGGGTGGAATGAACCTTACATGATGCCTAGACACTGACTCTGGAAACCAGACAGCCAAAGCCACAGGCTTCGTTCCTAGCAGTGTTCTGTTACCTCACCGGATATTCACTTTCAACAATTCTGAGAGAAAATTATATTTGAAAACTACTTAGTAAAATGAAATTGTGATTTACAACTTAAGCATGGCCTATCATTAGGATAACAAGAGTATAAAACAGGGCTGGAGAGATGGCTCAGTGGTCTAAAGCACCTACTTAGAACAAGCTTGGCAAGGCATCAGGGATCACGGTTCAATCCCCCAGCACCACAT